TTTATGTTTTATAAAAATATGAAATATATAAAAAATAGCAACTTACAGAAACATAGCTGGCATTAATGTAATCCGATCCTGGAATACTAGCATCAGCTATCAGCTTCACTCTGTTGTTATTATCTAGAAGAAAATATAAGAAATAAGTGCGAATTCACTCTTCAAATTGTCATTACCTTCTTACTGTAAAAGTAATACAAAGAAGTTCATGATGTAACATTGAACATTACAGATGGCTGTAAAATTTTAAGGTAGAAATTCCCTCTCATTCCATATTGCAGTACCCAGGGACAGTGACTATTAATATGTTCTTGTATTTATTTACAGAATTTTCTATACATATTCATATAAAATTAACCACAAAGGGGGTGACATAACACTCCATTCTGCAAAACTTTTTAACGTGTATCTTTCCATACTAGCATAAACAGTGCTATCTAGCTTAATATTTTTAAAAGCTGTATAGTATTTCATTGTTTGAATATAGCATACTTATTTTGCTTTTTATGATGATTAAAACTCACCTCGTTTTGTTATTATAAAATGCTGAATAAACATAAGTGGACTTTTTGCATATACGTTGGAGTGTATTTGCAGAATACATGACCAGCAGTAAAATTCCCAAATCATATTATGCAGCTCAAATTTTGAAACATATTGCCAAACTGTCCTCAAATTTTATCAGTTTACACTCTGAACAAAAATGTTTGTACAATTCTGATTCCTTTTACTTTCACTACCACAAGATGTTATTGAACATTGTAATTTATGATCTTTTCATATACAGATTGATGTCTCATAGTATTTATTTTGATTTCCTTAAATATAAGAGAAATTGAGCTTCTTAGCTTTGTATATTGTCCATATTAAATATCTTTTCTATTAATTGCCATTTAATATTATACTATTTTGAAAAATATTTTATACTAAAAATATGATATATGTACTGAAATTTTCTCTTGGTTTGTCATTTGTCTTTAACTCTGTTAGTCAGCTGCTAGCTATCCTGTCATATAAAATTTATATATTTTGTAATCTAATTTCTCATTTTTTATTATGGCTCCACTATGGCTTTTTGTGTCCTATATACAAAGGTCTTTGTCACACCAATATTCCTATTTTCACGAATTCATTCATAGTTTCTTCTGGATCTTTAATGGGTTATTCTTTTGTTTTAAATATTTTGATTTTTGAGCCATTTTTTTTTCTTTTTGGAAACAGAATAAGTTAAAATCTGTCTTATTGTTTGTTGCCATTTGGAACAACAAATAATCCGTCCTTTCCCTCTTGTTCAAAACACTGCTTTTAGCATACGCTAGCTTTCTCTACGTGTTTAGTTCTGTTTCTGAACCATTTATTTGCTTCCTTTAAGTTATCTGCCTATTCTTTCTTTAATACCAAACTTCTAATTATTATTCTTTAGACTATTTTAAGGTCCAGAAAAATTAGATGCCCTCCACCTATTACTTGTCTTCAAAGAAAAGTGTCGATAATTATTTTTGCCTGAGGATTTTTACCAAGTTGGTATAATTGATATGTCAAGTGCTAATTTTAACTAGATAAGGAAATGACACAAAGTATCTATTACTCCTTAATTATTTGAATTAAAAAAAGTTGTAATGAGAAAGCATTCAGTAGTGGAGGAAATGGGTGAGTGGGTTTGGGTTTTGAGTTCCAGATGATCTAGCTACCATTGATAAAGGCCCTGGAGGAATTACTTAACTCCTCTGTTCCTTTGTTACCTCAGCTATAATACATAGTTATAGTACTTATTTGGTAGAATATTCTTGAGGAAAAGTTCTATGAAAGCTTATAGAACTTACAAAGCTGTGTAGAACTCAAAACATGTTCTCATGTTCTTAAAATTCAGAATGACTTTGCAGTATCATTAGTAATTATAATGACCTAACCAATGGGTTTAAATATGGGGAATTGTTTAAGCAAATTTATGTGAATGATTTATGTCCCAAAGATTTTGAATTTGGTGTGATCTAACTACTTGAATGACATCATGGCCAGTCATGTAACTGAGGAAGGGAAGCCATCAGGTTTCTGTTCACTCGATACTCCTGCTTATAACTATCTGAGTCAACAGCAAGTGAAATTTTTCTTCATGGCGTGGAACACTTTGGAAGGTCATAGTGTCCTGTCAGATAGAGATTTGGAAATCTCTTCTGCATGCATTTGCTGCTAATTCTAGAATCTTAAAGCCCTGTAAGCGAATATCTTCTAAAATGCACTGTGATATTTGAAATCCTGCTTCCTACATTACTCGGGAAACAATGCACTTAGCTGGGCTCAAGCTAAAATTCAGACTATTAAAAGGAATTCATTCTCTACGGGAGGAAAAAACCTTTCTTTGGCTTCATGGCTTCTCTGCAAGCACAGTGGGAGTCTATATATAGTTTAAGCATTTCATTTGCTTGTTCCCAGTGTGTGTGCGTGTGTGTAGCGAGGGTGTATTTGCCCATAGAAGTGGATGTGAGTTTACAGCTTATCTTCCAACCCAGGTTAGGGAAGTGGGCTTATTATCTCCAGACCAGAGACCCTAAGGGCCGGTTACTGAATTTTATTCACCCAGAAAGTTAGCAGCTTTTAAAAATAGGCAATCTGTTGATTTTTTTTTTTAACTAACACTCACAGGAACTAATATTTACTGAGAGCTTCCTGTGTCCTGGTACTAGGCAGAGTGATTTACACGGTTATTTCATCTACCTCCTTGAAATAAACGTAGGAGGGAAACATCACTGAATTATCTGTCCAGTCATTAAGGTCATTAGTAGGTAAACAGAGTAGCAGCCCAAGAAATTTGATTAGAGCCCACATGGTCTTAGTCATTTTACTGTACAGCGGCCAGTATGTATGAGTTGAATCATTAAGTTATTTTAATAACATTCTTGAAAATACATAAAATTCTTGCTAAGAAAAAATATAAAATTCTTCCTAACAAAATTATTTCTTATAGTACCTCCAATTCTTTAAGAGGACAGTTAAGAAAAAGCTTTCCTCTAAAAAATCCATTAAAGGATATTGAATGTGGATATAGTATATTATCTGGAAAATTACTGTGAGTTTTCTGTACTGAAATTAAGAAGAAAGCAGAACAATTGGACACAATCCATTTGTCTCTAGTGAAGGTGAAAAAAAATTGCACGCAATGCTTATAATATTCCAGACGTCCTTGATTTACAGTATAATTCCATCACTAGTTATTTTTTGTCTTAGCCTCAGATATCAGGGTAATCTTACCCCTCAGTTCTCCTTGTGGTTGTAAGGACATTGATTTAGTTCTGTGGCCCACTCTTACTCTCTTCTCGTTCTGAGTGCTAGCTGCTAGCACTGTGTGACCTCAAGCCATTGTGGGAACCCAGAAAAGGGTGCACTGAGATCTTAATAATAAAAGATCAAAATGTCACGTTTTAAAAACGTCTAACATACCAAATTTTTACATATTTTAAGTCAGGTACTCTTGGTTTTTGGAAATAAGCTAGATATATTTTATTTACTTATTTTATATATAGTGGTATATTATAAATTCAGCCAAATATATAATTGTAAATAAACATTAAATATTCTGTAGTTACTGTCCTTCAATCAGACTGTAGTAGTTTTCCCAGAATATTGCTAAATAAGCATAAAGCAGACAATCTGAAGGAAATTTAAATATGGATGAATATAAACACATGAGAATTTCCGTATCTCTTAAACTTATGATGCATCCAACCCAGGTTAACTCTGTGAAAGAGAAAACAGGAGGACTTGTTAAGAAAGGTCATGCCACAGGAATTTGGAGATGAAATACTAACATTCCTTTATTTCCTACAATAACGTCTTACTTGTCAACTTACTCGTATAGTCATTTACCTATGATTTGTTTTGTTCCGGAAAGGATTTTAGGTGGTTAAAAGCTATTTGTATTTTCATCCTTTTCTCATTCTTGGGAATTAACAGATTCCGTTAGGTTACTACCTCCTATATCATGTTTCCCTAAATTTGTTTACTTCATGCCTCAGTTATCCTCTTGTTTTAGAATAACAGAGTATGGTCCTTTTCTTCCTATCCATATCCTTATAATTTTACATTCTGCGATTATATGCTTCTCTAAATCCATGTCGTCTTAGAAGAGTTCAATTTTTATAGGTATAAAATTTTCCCCAATGTAGTTTTGAAAAGGCATAGAACATAGAAACATGTATGTGTGTGTGTGTATATGTGTTAATTCTAAAATTAGCACTATTTTAAAACTCTAGATTTTGAAACCATATTGACAGTTTTTTCAGAGCTTCACAAATACCACTTTTTAATTTCATAATAGAAAAATGTATTGAATCAGAATATAGGTAGTAGGAACATCTGTTGAATAAATAGAATATCAAACATACAGCTATTATTAGCAAAGGAATGCTGTCTTTTTTCTTTGACATCACTGTTAATTCTTAAAGCAATAATGCAGTTTCTTTTTCTTACTGGTTGAAAAGTGAAGCTATGTTTACCATGGTAAAGCACAAGCCTGCCTCCTTGCTAAAACCAGTCCTCATACATTTACTGTGATCTCCATGAATACTTTGCAATGCTTTTATATTCCATAAGAAAGCACTCCCATGCTCTTAAGGGAAACCAGTGCACAAAGTTACGTGTAAACTTTCTCTTTTCATTTGAGAACTAGGTCTGTAGGAAGATATCAGAGAGCTTCATTACTTGGGTTAAATTACAAAGCTAAGAAACTATTAGGTCTACAGTTTCTTCGCACCTGCATGAGTGAACCTTGTGTGAACAAGCTGAGAACCGTGTACATTCACTTTAATAAATATTAACAAAGCAAAAGAGATACAATTTAAATGTTGCTGCTAAGAAAATACATTATTATAATTCAATTAATATGTAACAAGGTATTTTTAAGCAAAAATGCTAAAATGCATTTTGCGCTCATTTGAAAATGTGTCACAGCTAAAATCAGAGACAGTAAGTGCACGTACATGGTTTTATGTTTGGAAAGCGATTTTTTGCTCTGTTCCAAGGCAGGTCAGCATCAGTGGAAGAAAGATCCTGAAGAAATTTAGGTAATTCCTGTGGATCAAAGTCATTGCAAAGTTTAGATTGATTTCAGATGTAAACAAGAATTTCCGCATAGTAAAAGGCTATTCTTTACTCTAAACCCTTTTACTTTTAAAATGAAAACACCTCTCATCACTGCAGAAGCAAGGTCAAATGAACAGTAATGGACTTAGATGAACTTCCACTGAAAATGAAACAGAATTTCCTGAATAGAATTGGTCAGCTGGGTAACTGCTTCCTTTGGGATCCCTTCTCTGTCCTTTGGGAAGCTCTGAGATGTGGTAACCATGTTAGCAACTGCTTCTCATACTTTACTAATGGTTTCATCAAATACACACTATGTATTATTTAATATTTTAACGTCTCCTTAGTAGGGAAAGGCAGTCCGTGATTTATTTTTTGTTTTTTCTCCTCGGGCAGTGTGATTTCATGCCTATTAATTGGTACAACATTGGTCAGTTTGAGAAGATGCCAAAGGTCAGTTCGCGTTCTCAGGAGGCATTGTTAAATCGGTAGCGGAATGCGAAGGTGTGATTTAGAGTGATCAGACACAGATGAAGGGTCAAGGAGACCTGCTGTTGCCATTTTGGTGAAAAATTAGGATATGATCCATCTACCATGAAGAAAGCTGGTGCAAGGAAACATGTTCATTATTTTGTTGAACTGATGATTCACACTTACGAATTTTACAGTTTTCCGTATTAGAAATATCTCAGTTGACCATATTCCTCAAACAGTGTTAAAACTGTGGGGTTTTACAATTTTTTCAACATTATTATAAATTATTTCTTTTAACTGGCTAATTTTCGCTTCTATCTTATTTTTCCGCAAAGAGAAAATCTGGACTGTCTTTTGCGTGTATGTACGTGTGAGAGGAGAGGGACGGTGGAAACATCCAACTTCCGGTGTGTTGGCACAAAAGGCTTAGAAAAAAAATTTTTTAACCAAGTGAGGAATCCTAGAACAGCCTCCTTGTGTCAGGTTTTGGGAGTATATGTCAGCATATTTATCAGGAACAAAGAAATAGAGGGGAGAAGAAGGGGAAGTAGAAATCACCTGAAAAGCGGGACTTCTGTTCCGGAGTTAGTTCACAGGGAAGTTTCCATTTAGAGATTGAAATAACTCTGGCCTTGATAATCAGTACTCGGTTACGAGGTTGATTGTTTGGATAGTAAGGCTACACTCAGTGGCCTTGTTCTTAACAGGGCACGCAGGGCCTCAACCGCCCTTGCCACGAAACTCCTCCTACTGTTTCCTCTCTGCAGTGGGATCACAGACCAGCGGGGCTGGCTGACATCCTTCGGCTTTTGCATTCATGCTCTCCTCGAGAACACCTGTTCCCCTTTATCTGCTCACTGGACTTTTGCTCTGTCTTCAGGTTCATCTGGCAGGTCACCTTTTTGTGGAATCTTTTCCGATTAGTATCCTCACTTCTTTCTGCATGTCTCTATCATGATAAGTGTATTCGTGATTTTTCTTTTATACGTGTCTGCAGTTCTCACCATAAAATGAACTTCTTGGTGGGAGAAATCATAATAGCAAATACTTGTGCCAGCCACTATTCTTAGCATTACACACATTCAGTTTAGTAGTCACAACGCAACGAGATACTCTCATTTTGCAAATGAGGACACTGAAGAACAGAGTGGAAGTGATGTGCCCGAGGTCACTTAGCTGTTAAGTGTTGAACTGATATATATCAATGTGCCAAATACAAGGCTTGTCACATAGTAGGAGCTTAGTAATATTTAAGGTGTAAGCACATATGACCTGAGGTACAAGGTGTGTCAGGGATTTGTATCAAATATGCATTTGCTTATTAAAACATAATTCTGCCTTGAAAATTAATGTAGCACTAGGATAAAAAGCCATTTAAAAACCATGTTCCTTAGATACGTAGATATATTTACATAATATATATATATATATGCATACAACTTACATACGTACATTAAAAAAAAAACCAAGTAATTAAAACCATGATCTTCAAAAAAGTTAAACTAGAAATTTTCTCAATATGACATATGGGTAAATGTTATGGCTAATAAAACTTTTCATCTACTCAGTTATGTATAATGTAACTATATTCGCTCCCATTCTAGTGAAATTACACTTTTGCTTGTGAAAAAGAGTTCTTGCTGCATAAATGCTAATAAGTTTTACAGTACCATTGATTCTGTTACATCCAGACCAATATTACTTAATAAGCATAACCAAAAAGCTGTAGGAAATACCATTAATCTTCTCACATTTTTGTTATTATTCCCTGAGAGACTGAAATACTATGATCCTGAATTACTCAAGCCAATTGTTTAATTCTTTGTTCACAGACTAAAACTCATGAAAAAGTTGAAATAAAGGTTTTTGGTAACACTTAGAAATGTTTTATTTTTATAATACAAAATAATCATCTAAGGTAGGAAAGAGGCTCAAGTTTTAAAATTGATTGTAGATCTAATTCACACCTTATGTTTGAATATAATTTCAATTTTATAGATGTAAAAAATGCTAAAGGCAGTAAAAGTAATCGTAACTTTTAAACAGTGTTAAAAGTGACGAGTTCTGAAGTTTGTTTATTCTGTATAATGTAAAATAGCATTTTACTCCATGGTCGCTTAAAAATAGGCCTGTAACACAAGTATTACTTATCTGTTTTTAAATTTGGGGGCAGTTCTAGAAATAATGTTTTTATAGGTTCTGGAAGCATCGAGTTCTGTATTCAGGTTCAGCTATACCACTGACGTAAACTAAGGAGGCAAATATAAAATGGAATTATTCAGTTTCTAAATCTAAAATAATTATTTAAATACAAAAACACATTTAGGGTGCCACCTACACCTCGTACGCACACAAGGACTAATGCACACAGCATTCCAGAGCCACACGTCCACATCTGGGCGAGAGAGCAGAGCAGACACGGGTCCAGGCTGCCCTGGCTGGGGAGGGCTGAAGTGGAGCACCTTCTCCCGACACGGGGGGTGAACAGTTCTGCTCAGGCCGCACCAGGGGCTGCCCAGGGTAACGTTACTGTCCAAACAATCAACCTGGTAATTGGGTATTGATTATCAAGGCCAGAGTCCTTCATGGCCTTGCAGGCTTAAAATGGACATGAAATGTGACACATGAAACGACTGGAGGTCTGGCGGTGTTGTGACAACTGCTAGTAACATACCGAAAATTCCTCTTGAAACTTTAGGTTGTTGTTTGTGCAAAGCTCTTCAACATGTTGCAGGAAGGATTTCTTGCTTATCGGCCTCCAAGCAAAGAAAGGTATAAAATGGAGTCATGTTAGGTTGAGTTCTTTGCCTTTAGCGAGGAGCCTGCCTTTATAGTTAGCAAGTTACAGAACCAGGGACATTTCATAACCACCCAGCCCTTTAAAGTCACTCTGTCATATTTACAACATTAACTTTCCCCCTTTAAGTTCACTTTCTTTGTATTTCACAGCACAGAAGTCCTTCGGTATTTAAATGACTTTAAATAAATGATTTCACATTTTAATGAAGAAAATTTTTCAAGTAAATGTAAGAGCATGAAGTTATCATTGAATCCTAAAGCACATAATACCTCTTTGTCATACAGAAAACATTTTATACATTACAAGGTTTTAGAAGATATAAAATATTGCAGTGACCTCATTCTCGTAACGACATGGTTTTTAAACCCTAAGGAGGTTAAATATCCCCGTATTACTTCCCAAGCTAAAATACAGACATGCAGGCTTCACCCCAGAGAGGGAGAAAGCGTTTCTCCAGTTACCATGCAATTAGTCATGCTTTTATGATTTATATCCAGCTTGGAGGTTTTTCTAACAAACATACAAAAAAGGAACCACACATTAAGGTTTGTTGAATCAGTGGATCTAGAGTTGATACTCAAAAAGGAGAAAAGATATTTAACAAACTTACTTGATGGATTTTCTATAACTAAGTAACCTGCAACAGAGATTGTGTTAAATGCATTATGAGTTGAGGTACAGCTCTTTGTGAAAGAGTTCTAATTAAAGTCAGAAAAACATAATACATCAGTGATGTATAACATACTGTACCTTTGATGTGTGATCGTTATTTTAAATCCTGTTTCATTTTCAAAATTACATTATTTGGACCCATATATGGCCAATAATTTAACTTCTCTCTCAAGCTAAGAATTTACTCTTGTATATTGTTTGGCATTTGGGGCATTACACTAAAAACAGACCACTCTTTAATATATTGCATAGTATTTACTTGTCTAAAAGACTTAATGTGGATTAAAAAAATTTGTTTCCTTTGTCCATAGAGAGTGCTGAATCAGGGAGGGTGGACCTTTGACAAATGACATCATATTGTCTAAGTCTTATTTAATGAGAGTTTTGATGAATACATAACCATTAAAAAATCACAATCTTTTCAATTACTTTAGGTATACATATATTTTGTGACAGTTTATTGGTCAAGTTATTTATACTCTGAAAAAAATTGAAGTAATTTTTAACAGCTATGCAACACAAACTCAGAGACGGACACATCTTTAGTAACACACTTGTCATGCACAACAAATTAGCACTGCAAAAAAAACACAAAAGGCAAAAAGTATAATGAAATAAAAGAGCATACCCACTTTTCTTTAAGGTTTTTAATTTAAATGTTATTAGGGATGATTTTACTGTACTTAAGTGAAGAATATTTATAAGAGAAATGTGATTTTTGAAGTAAAGGACAAATGAAAAAAGTAATTAGATTGAAAAATGTGGCATAATGAATACTATGAAAATGGTCATAAAGGGGTGTGTTCAGTGAAGAAAGCAGGAGTCAAAAGAAGTGTGTTTTATTACAGTACAGGAGTGGTGAAAAATAAGAGGATGCTGGAGCAGGTGTTGTCGGGAAGAGTGGTGAATTCTTGGTCAGGGCCGTTAAGTGTCCCCAGGCAGAAGGAAGCACCTCTGTTTTTCAGAGTATAACCTAGTAGGGCAATCCATAATCAAAGGCGGCATCACAGTGGTAAACAGCAGTGCTAGAGCGAAGTCTCGGTGGACGAGCTTGTGGGCTTCCCACAACACCTTGGAGTGGTCCTAAGAAGGCAACAGAGAAACCTTGACTCTGACTAGATGGATATGGAGATGGCTGAATGGGATACTGAATCAGAAGAGTCCTTAATCTGGGGGCAGGGAGACAGAACATATGAATTGGAGGGCCTGGAAAGACTTCTGACATACATGCAGTGGGGACCCAGGCAACAATCAGTCCCTGTTGGGAATAATTTCCCCTCAGCAAAGACGTGCAAGAAAGAAAGACAAACCATAGGCTAGACCCACTCTACCCAAGCCCCTTAAGGTGCCGGACGCCCCAGTGCTCCTATGCCACAATGTTCCTCAGAAACAGGAAAGAAACAAGGGTTAGGTTGGGAAATCTTAATTAACTGAGCTTAAGATAGAAATGAGTGAGACACTTGAATTAGCAAGATCAATTTCCCTGCTACCACACAGACATGGAAATTCTTAAGTTGTATGAAGATCACCTTTCCTACAGGCTCCAGGATTATTTGAGGCAATACTGGCAAAAATATTTTTACTAGGCTGTCCAGAATCTGAAATAGAGCTAGTTTCTGAGCAGCCATCAGTAAGCCATTTGAAGAATCAGGACACGGTTATTAAATCCCCAAGAGACATTAAATGTGAATAATCATATTAAAAATATAAATGAGCAAGAAATAGCTAAAGCATCAGATTATTATTCACATCCTTGATCTATTTTCATGAATGATCTCTATTCTTATTTAGAAATTAAGATTAATATTTTTTTTCTTTTGGTTAATTTCTTTTCAGTGAGGTAGTGGTTTGCTTTTATTCTCATTTTGCATTTGAAAAGGTCTTTCCAGAGATACTAATTTTAAACTGTAACTGGCTAACTTTCGGATTTGGGTGGATATTTGTGCGTTTTCTTCTTATAAAAGACAGTGCCCTTATTGGCTTCAAATACCTGCTCCAACAATTACCAGTGATAATATTTTGAGCAAGTAACTTAATCTCTTTCTTAGTTCCTAATTTAGAGAATACGGCAAATACATGTAAATCAAGTTTATATATGTAAAATGCTAAGAAATGCACACCTCTGGCTTCGGAAGCAACACATGAATGCTAGTTACTATCATTAGTATCATAATTGCTGTTTCTAGTTCAGTTTGTAAAACTCAAGCTCCTCCTACCGATCTGTTCTACAATGATACTGATATAAAGAAGGAATTTTTTTTTCCTAAAGGAATAATCTATCTTAATTTTACTCAAAACTGGAAAGACTAAATTGAGCTAAATTAAGCAGCAAGATTTCCTATTTTATTCTTCCTAATCAGAGTCCCAGAGTAAAAGAGTGATCACAAAGCCAAGTTTGGTTTTCTAGTTATCATCTCAAATCCTAAATAAATCTCTAACAATATAAAGGCTGTAATAATTCTGTTTTCATATTATCATGTGGAAAGCATTTCTAATCATGCCCTCGTTTTTTACATTATTCCTTAAAACTACCCTTCACATTACCCT